CGAAGACAATTTACTATGTGCAAGCATCCTCATATCCGTTCAAACAAAATTACGTAGTCTTTTGCATTGATATAAGAAGGATTTTGTCCAGGTTTGCAAGAAGCAACCACGAGTATGTTGAAGAGGCTGCTGCTTTGAATATTGCCATTAAGCTGAATCCCGTCGCTAACTTACTTTTTGAGGGCCGAATAAGTTTGTCACAAATTTCACCAGCCTAATCATCTGCTTTGATACTTGGCGCATCATCTGCCTTACAGGATCTTGTATGCTTGAATGCAATTCCGTTTCATGCGCCATCGTACTGGTGCGAGAAAACTGTGTTGACGGGTGAACGTTCTAAAACAGCCAGTTCATCTCCGACTTCTTTTGCATATCACCAGGCACCTCTCCCCTGGAATCCTTGATAAACAATAATCTCAGAATAGTTTTACTTTTCAGATCAGGTCATGCAGCCAACTTCCAGAATCAGAACCAGTTTTTATACAGCATTCTTTGTGTGGGAAGTTCAGTGAATGAGCCCCTTAAGTAACGTGATAAAAAATGCACCCATTCTCCCGGAGTGGACTTACCGACAACTAGCTCGAAGAAACGTCTACCCTCCCTTAATCATCAAGATTCTGAGACCATAAAAGAATCACTTACACGAGTAGTTTACAAACCGGTGGTATACCAAAATGAACTGACTCACCGATTCTTTCACTCCTCTGTACACATTGGCGGACGCGAGACCTGTGGATTCAACTTATTAAATGACATACTATTTCATGTCGGTTATTAATGTGACGCTAGTCTGGCCGTCATAGAAGGCAACAGGGTATCATCAGCATTTGCACTGGCCTCAATTTTAAACGCTACCCAGAGCCTTGACTCTGTAGTCTTCTTGACTATCATAGTCACCAGCGCTAGCGTTGAAACCATAAGGATTTTAACGCTACCCAACTCTTAAAGATGGATGGAGAGAAGACCGGATCAGAATACATTTGATATCATCCCACCGCAGGTTTCTCATGGTGCTTACACTCTCCAGGAGATCAGGAAATGGACGGAGAGGATGACTTTCTCTGACACAGGTTACCCGCTATTCCATGCGCCGTCTTTCGCTGGGACCAAATAAGCTCATAAAAACGCCATTTTTGGGGCAGATCGCATCGACCACATCCAAACGTTTTCATACGCCTTTACCAAGTCAAACGACTGCCAACCAGTTCACGCTGCTATGATAGAGAGGTAGGTTGACATTCACATTTATATACCTTGATTCGTTCGATTCGCCTCGTTCGACAGTGCCGGGGTGCTTACAACTTATCAAGAGGCACATCGCTGCTGAAAACTGGTTTCATCGCCTACTGGAAAACTTAGCGTATTCTGAGGGTCCTCTTTGGTAAAAACGCCATGCTTCCTGGTGAGGTGCTCAAGCCAATGTGTTAAGCATTGGGAATAGGGTGACAGAGATGTTTTAAACTTCTGTTTTTAACCCTCAATAATGGATCTCTGAAACCTAAATATTATTAGTAACCATCTCCTAATGAAACACCGTTAGTGGTAACATTTTTAGGCAGGTAAATTTCCTTTGTTGTGGCCATCAGATGCCATAGTCCGGTTGGAAAATAACCTGGCCACTACGATGGTATGGCCCCCGATTAAGGAAAACGAATCGGCATGTACGTGGGTTTTATAATACAGTACAAGCTGCTGTGTTGCGGACCTTCTACAGATAAGCACGCTGATGGATATATAGTTGTGTAGATCGGTTGATTCAAAATTTCCAATAAATAGGCAGTTTAGTTGTCCGATTCTAACTAATTCCATTCTGTACTTGAGGGAATTCTGAGGGCTGTGGTGGAAAGAGTCACGCTTCCATTACAGTGGTATTGAATTTGTTGCTGTGTACGCCATTTCGAAAGCGATGCGTTTGGTTAAGATGGAACTTCGTTTCTCCGAACGTGTGCTCCAGATTTTTAATACCCTTACACTTCACTGATTTACTTGCACTATCGTAACAACATCAGTTTGCTAATCTTATCTATTACTTGTGAAATAACGATTATTCTCTCGTCTTACTGAACTTGACCAAGGTCGTGAAGGTGAACAAAACAAAAACAATGCTGGTGGCTGCACTAGTCTTTTGCGGTTGCGGGTGAATTCGAAGAACGGCTTTGTAAGTTTATCTACGGAAAAACCATCGGTTAGCCAACCCAAGTTTCGTCAGTTAGTTTGCTTATACAGCACACTTGCATGCCATATAGCTCAAGAAGATTTTTTAAAGTAAAAGACGTTGCAACACTCAACGAGAGCTGAAGGCCAAACGAATGGCAGGTGGACCATGTTTGGGGAATCTGGTAACTGCTGCACTTTCTTGGCGGCGGAAGAGCACGTACCCCCTAAATATTCAGTATTAAGTATTCTACCCACTGGCGCACACATCAGTTTGAGGTTTTTAGTTCGTATCGGCGTACTAAATTGCTTGTTCAAAACTGGGAACCATATGACAGGTTGTTTGACCTTTATTTTGCCCTTTGAGTAGTGAAAAAATCACCAAACCGCTGCGCTAAGTGAATGTCATAAGCACCGTCATTACAGCTAGGAAAAACACCAGTGTTGACGACCCTGCTTTGTGGCGTACAATCGAACGGATTGTTTAATTATACCCAAATTATACCTCAAATTGTAGGTAGATTTCAAGTTTTCACTTCGTCAGTGGTAAGAACTCTACAGAGTTTGCGTAATTATTTTTTCAATGAAAAATGAAACAAAATTGGAGAGTGGACATTCTTTTGAAAGACCACGTTTTGTGGTGCCTTCAGCTGGTCGAATTCTTGCCTAATGCTTTTATGCCGAAGGTTGACGTGTCGGCTTAGGAATTCGAAAATCATATGTCACAGGTGGCCCTGTTAAAACGAGAGTAAATCTCACAATCATGCGGCTACTTCTTTATTCACAGACATTACCAACGAACTGCGTAGGGACTAATGTAAAGAAGTGTCTAGCCAACTAGAATAGCCCCTTTCAATCATTGAATAAGCTCTTCACCCCGGTACATTTGGAAGAGGGAATGAGTAAACGCGTAAGAAGTGGACTTCGGCATTCGAACGTTGCCGCCTTTCAGTCCTACCCTTCCAGCCAACAGCGCCACCAGGATGATAGCACTACGCAAAGGCGGACCTGGCATGACAAAACTTTAGGTTGTAACCTTCACGGCTGTGCGCTAGTTGGGAAATTGTCAGGGAGCCCACACCCGGACAGAGGGAAGATTAGGGTGCTTGATTGGGGAATTCCGCTCAGAAGCCTGACTGCAAGACAGTTCGCGGGTGCCGGCCTTCTTGAATGGCTCAGTGGGTCACAGAGGTACACAAGTCGCTGCACCGTAATCGAGTCTAGTTTATTTTTAGCATTCTTTTTAGGCAATGCTGATTAGAGACCTCAGACACCCCACCACAGAAACCTCAGCCTTAAGGGATAGGTCGAGCTCTTTGACGTAAATTCCATGGGTGGAGGCAGCAGTGTCCAAAAAATTCTAGCATATACGCCTGATTGAGAGCGGGAACACAAACCGGAAATTTGGGAGGCCTCGGTCCTTTGATAGTTAAATAGCTAAAAAGGGACTGTGAAGCGGAACCCCGTTTAATGTTGTCCCTTCGGGCATTTTTTGCTGTCCCAGATGAAAAATAGACTTGAGTTTAGCCTCGATCAAGTAGCTTCCCATCAAGATATGTGTCTATGCCACTGAAGGGAAGTACCCACGAGATCGCTAAATCCCCGCGATGGCCCAAGTCAGATTTTGCGCTTCTTAGGGCGGTTTAAGATTTTCCGCCAGACTCGTGTTCTACCTGAAACGAATTGTTACGCATTTCGTGAAACACTTATTCGCACACGAGATTCTTTCTTGTTCAAGGCCTAACTGAGCGTAAAAAAACAGAGCTGCAGAATATTGGCTGAGTTGTGTGGTTTACAAAGAGGACGGTCATTGATGCTCGCAATGGAATGATAGTGAAACGAAGATAGTCCTACTCCAGCGGATGGTGGGATGACCCTTTGAATAGCACGGAACATTTGGAACTTGGGAGGAGTTAACATCTGGGGTCATTCGCCATCTAGTTTGTATAGGTTTATGGGTCACGCAACGTGCAAGGGTGTACAACCAGCCCATGGCTGACTTGGAGAAAACTGAACCTCCGATGAGGGCTAAAATATCCAGGGCAAGAATAATCATGGTCGCTCTTGCTATCGTCTTTTGCTGGAATTTCTCCGATCTTTCATGCAGGCAGGTTCATAAGTCGGGCTTTTTAAGAGACTAGTTCCTGGACGATTTGGCAAACTTTGGTAATTTTTAAGGCTGCACTTCGTTTGAATTTAGCGCAAGCAGCTGAAAAACCATAGTTACGCACTTCACTTCCTGAGCAGAAAGCAATATAATGTGGCCGTCCCCAACTACACATCCCTTGTTCAAGCGAGCGAGCGTTTTCCACGAGCATGCCACTGATATGTAGAGAACCAGCTCACCTCTGAGTTGCTCCCGTATAAGAAGGTTCCTTGTGAGAGACTCATCTGCCAAATTCACATACATCAATCATCTCTCCTAGAGTGGTGACGAGACGTTTCCAAGCCAATTTGGAAGTTTGACGAACGCGCCTAAAAATCTTCTGATGCCCTACACCATTTGTGAATTCTAGAATGACGAATTGTTTTTGTGAATATTCGCAAGGTCGTGCAAGTTATCTTACGTGTCGCTTCAACATCGTTTAAATGGCAGCAGACCAACCCGTCAAGCTGGTTGCTACGAGTCATTTTCCTTTGGTGTGAGTTACACTTGCTCATTTAGTTGAGAAAATAAAATTCCTTAGTCACGCGTAACTGATCATATGTCACTAAAACTAGCGACTTTTTAACCGTATTTCCTTCTGTAAACCATGAAAAAGCGGTATACATATTGTTCAAGATTTTCATGCAGCGGAAACAAAAATAACAAAGTTTGTGATCCACCGCCTGAGTCGATTTGACTCTCATTCCATTCGGTTGGGGTATTTTAGCCGACGGCGCCATTGAATGTTTATAACCTTGTCACCACGAGCATTCAGTTTTCCGGACAACCGAATCGGCACCGAATAGGGTTCCGTTCTATCCCAGTACCCACTATGCTTGTGTATTTCTATGTGAGCTTCCAAAGCGACGCGATTCCCGAGCGGTATTAGTTCCAGCATGCGGCATCTGATCGAGTAGAATGGAATTCCCAGTAGATGTTGTAACTGAGGGTGTGCAAAACCGGGGATCAGAGCACATTGAATTTTGTTATACAAAACAGGCAAGAAAATAGCAATTTGGCTCAGAAGCCTTCTCCAAAGGCCTGGGACTCAATATTTGTCCATTTGAATTTGTTTCACACCCATTGTGGACAAACTATCAGACGGTTAAAGTATTGTTACCACTACACTCTATTCCTACTTCTAAGTAGCTCGGATTTTGGGGCTAGAAGCCAACTCAGTCATTTTTAACGCAAAATTGCCATGCCTGTCATAGTGGCCGTTATATAGGCTTTTGGCCATAACCAAGTCCTAAAACTATCTCAGGTTTCGGCTTACTTGGGGCCCGTTCTGAAGTTTCACACAACTTGGAATTCAGCGCATTCCGTCCACTCGAAGCTTGGGGCTATTCTGAAACAGTAACCCGGCCCTTTTGGGTATGAAACGAATAGTTCGTCTAGTTGGCGGGAGAATTTGTCTCCAGCCATAAAATTTGCGTTCATTGTGTTTTAGAAACAGTGAATCTCATTAGTCTGGTCGGATTAGTCTTTGATAGCAGAAAATAACATGCTATGTGTGTTTGATGCTTGGTATCCGTAAATAAAGGACACTCGTTCGTGGGAAAAGTCAGGAAAGTACTCGCTGGCACGGAAGAAAGTGGAGGGCGACTATCAATACGAAATCAACATCTGCACACCAGCTACGTAGAATGGTAGCAAGCAATCATGAACCTGGCGGTTTCCAACGCGTTTGCATTGTGTTGAATAGACCAACCTCAAAGCTGTGTCGGACAAAGCAGAAAGACACGCATACTCTCTGTGCCAGATAATACATTAGGATACTGGGTTACAAGGCCGACTCTATGAGTACCTGCAGCAGAATAAAGCGGCATGTCAATCAAGGAAGAAGAAATAGTACTTTGTGGAAATCGCCCCTGAACGACATGTAAAATGGGGAAAATCCCAGAACTATTGTTATGGACAAGACCGTAAATCCGCCAGATAATTTAAGCTAAAGAGATACTTCGTTCAACACATAGTTGAACAATCATATAATGCACTTTTGTTTAAATCGACCAAACGTAAGATGTGTCTCGCGAATTCGTTTCGAACTCTTCCCATTTCATCTGGGCATGCGATCCATGCACAAGCCAGCATTCTGATTGGTCAGTTATGCGCAAGCCAGGAAGCACGCGCGTTCAAACCGTATTTGTGCACAAGCCAAGCTAAATGTTCAAAGCGAATTAACTAAGAAAAAAATGGACTGTCAATACAAGCAAGAAAGTAGCATGAAACAATTTAAAGAAAAGAAGATCTCTGTTTTCCCGCGTGAAATAAGCGCAACTGAAAGTTTATAGAATGAAAATTCTTAACATCACAAAACGTGTCTACGTACCTTAATTTGTCCATCAACCTGCCTCTCTTCACACAACCTTTTTTTGACTACCCACATCACTTGCCTCAATAAAGGCTCAAAATTTGTGTTTTTGGAGGTCTCAGTTCAAACTTAACTATGGTCCTGGATATGTATACATATCTAAGCTATTTTGCACTCGGAACGTTTATTTGCCTTCATCCTAGTTAATCACATTTTATTCTATACAAGACTATCAGCAAAAGCTGTAGCGTCCTACGAATAAAAATGGGAACGGGGAAAGTCGGAAATAATTTGGACGGCTTCGCCCAGATTTAAACCGCGGACCAGCAGGCCCCTGTGCAGAAGCCTATCCCACTTGAGCATCGAGCAACGAAAGGCTGTTGGTGCAAACCTCTGCTAAGCAGCTAGACCTCATATGGAGTATCCGTTTATTTTGGTATGGATCAATTGACTAGGACCAGCCGATCATTTGCCTCAGTTTGGCTTGTGCGTGAATCGACTTCCTTAGTTAGGAACGACTCAAGTAAATAAATTAAGGAAAGGTAGGTGCTTAAAACAAGTAAACAAACTGTCCAAAACAGTTTCGAGTGCTTGTTCCAGGAAAGGTTGTCAGTTGACTTAACGCCGCAAGTCCAAACACCCTAAAATATGCTTAATCGTTCTCTGTTTGCTCACTGAACAATTCTTTGATACCTGTATCACTTTCTTTCACATGAGGTTAGAGAGAGACAAAAACTTCTGTCTTCAAATGACTAGAAATAAACCTAACTACATATTCAAGATTTTCTGCACTCATTTATTCAGTCATACCCTGTGCCATAAATGGCAAACCTCGTGAAGAGAAGTTCCTGGGAAACTATAGTATCTCCGAGAAACAACTTCGACGCTATTTCTGGGGCTAAACATTTTCGGACCGTTTTATGATAGTCATGGTTTAACCGTGGATACCAAGGATGGAGCAGGCGAGTAGTATGTTGTTTTTTTCTAACTCTACCTTGACCCAATGAAAGGTGAGACTTATTACTGAATTTGAGGAACTGCTTTTCAGCATTTGTCTACAATTGCGTGATGGTCAATGAGTACCTGGGAAAGTGCAAGTGCGTTAAAGAAGACGGATTTTTGAAAAGCAACATCCATATGAGAGTTTTACTTTCCTCTCCCAATAGCCTGTACCTGTTTAGTCGGTGTTTTTTAATGAACAACTCTGCGGCGAAGGATCTTCCTCCTTTCAGTGGTAGCATCACAGATAAAGTGACTGTGCTTAACTGAGTCATTTTTGTACTGAATGCAGAAAGTGGAAAACAATTTGGGTGAGGGACTTTGGATTCGAACTGCGGACTAGCGAACTGGCTGTTCTGCTGAAGCCCATCCCAGGACGACAAGCAGGGTCGGGACACTCTTCGTGCAAACTTTGTTTGAGCCGCTGGAACCCGTTGGGCCAATTGTATGTTCAGGCCTGATTTATGTCCAAATCGACTCTCCTTAACTTTCGACTATGGGGGATCGGCCTGCCTACCGATATTCCCCTTGCCTTGTGCAGTGCGGAAAAACAGTGTCTTTACGTGAAGGTGGTAGACCGATCTTTTGATTATTATTCATTTGAGTCTGTTCGTTTAACACTCGGGTGACATCTGTCTGGATTATCATGTAGTAATATTTTTACCAAGAGCGTGCTCTGGGATAACAAGCTGGACTGTGGGGCCGGTTGAGCTAAGGCCTGCTGCCTAAACAACCAAAAACATCCATTCTTGCGAGAACAGAATACAGACGCAGACTACAACTTTGAGCTATCGGGTCAAAGCTAACTCGAATCAAGTTCTGGAAGCCTCCTAAGGATTAAGTAAAAAAATCTGGCAGTAGGTCAGGCCATATATATACGGAAACAGGACCAACTGGAAGGATGCCATCAGTCAGATTTCACGGAGGCCGTCTTGCAGCTAACCGACACGAACGATTTCCACTCGTCCCGTGCATGTAGATCAGGAAAGAGACATATTCATTTGTTCGTTTACTTGCACTGGCAAGAACGGGAATAAGTGATCATTTTTAGGGACGTGGTATTCATTCGAGAAAGCCACAAAAATTAGGACAGTTGAACCTGAGAGCGCCATACGAGGGACCAGGGAAGAAACCAGTAGGAAGCACCAGAGTAACACAAAACTCAGGGTGAAAATTGAGATCACTGGAATGCACAGCCAAGCCATAGGTGACTCCGTAAATCAGAAAGCCCAAAAACTACCGAGTGGAAAATAGCTCAAAGGATAAGGTACTCTGTGAACCAGCCAGGATCCAAAACAAAACAAGGAAGAACTAGATAAGAAAATTCAATGGAAATAGGTTGTATCCAATGCACCGGTCGAATTAATTGATGGGTGGGTAGAGCGCAGCGCTCAAGAAAGGCGGAATGGACCAATCGGAACAAAGGAACACATCTACTGAACAAACTATACAATGAACCAATCAACTGCAAGACAGTGAGACCACAGCGCACAGCAGATCTTGAAAAGATCTGTCGGACAATCTCCAGTCAGTCACGTCGCAGGAATCAAATGCTCCTTATAAACCACAGAACCCCAAGGAGACTTCCAGGAATCACCTTACAAACTACACGTTTGCAAGCCGATTACTGAGCTACGGGATTAGGTCGGCTTTCGTCTGATCAACAGTCGGTCAACTTACACATCCGATCCACCAATATTCGGTCACATTTTGAGCAAAACTTTTATCATATCGTCCAACGTGCTAGTGGTGTGGTACTCGCCAACCATTGTGTCAGAATCCTCCGTCAACCTGTCTTAGCATTTTACACAGGCCACGTTAATTATATTGCTGAGTTGTTCATTGAACTCGGAAATCCCTATGCCTTCGATACCGGTAAGCTAACACACATTTTATGAATGAATTGATTAACTTGAAATGAACAGCTTAGACACACCGCTTTCCAATTCCCACTCTACCGATGACACAAGCTGAGATTTTCTCGCTGGAGGCCTCCTAGAGTGCTTGCTTGATCACCGACTGTCCTTCACTGATCTAATCAATCGGTTTGGGAGGGGAGCAAGACCTTCCACTACAGAGTCCGTGAAATGCCAGTTAACTGCGCACAAATTGAAAAGTGAATGTACGAGCAAATAAGAAAACCGTGCGAATATGAGCACCCACATCGGAAACGAGAGAGTTCTCTAGGCCCGTCCGCCTGGACAATGTATTCATTTCCCCTTGGTGGCGTGCCTTGGGATCCACGGAAAATTTGGTAAACATTTGTACTATGACTACTGAAAAAGGCAAAAACAGGACATAGCATAGAGAATGCAGTTGCAAGTAGTATAGATGACTGTAGGTTCATAATATTGCTTCTGCAACGGGGTACGAACTACCTGTACGATAGTTGGGAAAGTAATCTTGAAAAATGGTCATTCTGATTAGGGCCTGGAGACAAAGTTTCTTCCCAATCGAGCAGTTGCCAACCAAATAATGTGGATTTTTCGAACACTCAAGATAAATGTTTGGAGTTGCCCTGATGCTGGTTCTGCCCTACCATTGCGTCCGGTTTCATCTGGTAGGTACGTTTGGGCTGTTCCTTGGTGGGTTGGGTACTTGAGTAGTTGGTGCGAGCGTTACAAACCAGGAAGTACCCTAGTGTCATGTCAACAAAAGTTACAAAGCGGAAACCAAGTGCCTCAAGGACAGAGATCACTCGAGCACGGACCAATAGTAGGACAAGTTCGAAAGTCGCGCGGTCACCGAGTAATCAGGACAGAGGATAACAGACCAACAGGCAGAACCGCTTGACTGAACAAACAGTCGCGTTCAAAGGTCTATCTAGGATGGCGGCACGTATGTTAGGGCAAACGTATCACTTCCCCATCCATCACTGCGCTCCAGTCCGCCCCCTAACAACGCACTGGTGATGTTTTCCGGTGGGTGATGAGACGTCTGCATTCAAACTACCCAGATCAACGAACAAATCAGTGACAAGTTTCTGCGTCTCCTGGCCACAACTTGCCACGATTGGCAACCTGTGTGTTATTCGTTTGCTCTTCTATCGTTCCCACCTCTACATCAGCTACCTACAACTCTGACTTGGTAGGAGATCTGGAGCCTTCTAGTTATCAGAAATCTCATATTGGACCGGGAGACTTCGGAGACGGTTTGTGGCCCGGAGCGATGGTATTGCAGTGCTAATCAGCTGTTCCTCAGTGTCATTGGTTTGAGGTGCGCTTCCTGCCGACTCCATACTGCGGAACAGTCAAACAGCCTGATTTGTCATTGCCTCTTTGATCAAGTTGAATCCCGGCCATTCCGAATTGTCCAGCTCGAGTTAGTTTGGACTTCCATTAGATGGACTCTCCCATGGAATCTATAGCTGTGTCCCCCAAAATGGCGCCTTGTTTATCTGCAGCGAAGCCGCCTTACATATAGGGCAAACTTATGAATGATGACTATACGGGAAACGAAAGGTGATGACCTTGAGATGTAGGCTGGGACAATGCGAAGGTTGCCATGCCTGCTACATAAAATTCAGCGTATGCGGTTTCCGAGTGCCTGCAAAGTACGCAGTCGATGTCATATCACTGACCATCACTCCTTAATATGAGGTGATAACTTCCCAGAAGCTACTGAACATTATTCATTGAGAGCGTCCGCCATCCGTCCCCTCAAAAGTAGTTTGCTCAGGGATAGAGGACTTTGTCAGGTGTTGGGAAAGTACGCAAAACAGTACCTGAGAGGCAGCTTGTGAATAAACTCACGAAGGATGATTCAGAAAATCTTACATGAGGCAAAATATTTTGCGAAATATTTTTATCAACACTAGAATTTTGTGCCCCTTGTTTGGGCCTTACCGCAGTGTGACGGTTTGTGTGCTTCCGTGACCCATTAGGGATGTCCGTGAGACACTCGCAGTGTCTCCCTTACCAGGTTGGTCACTGGTTATACGCCTGACCAACAGAGCATCCTGGCCCTCCAGGTTGTGGATTAGAACTTATGTGGCGACTTGTTCCAGCCAACACAGCGCTGCCTCGCGGTCAGGCTTTGAGCTAAAGGCATCGACTCTACGGCAGCGAAGCATCAGTGTAGAGCACTGATTTTCTGCTGTTCATGACGATGATGATAATGACGAAGATGATGAAAATACGATTAGCTGAGAATGTTACTCGGGAAACAGTTGATTTTCCAGCTGATCTCCCACACCATGGTCCAGCTGGTCTGGGAGTTTCCAAGCCTCTCAATCTCGGAATCAATGACGCACCTTTCTGCTCTGAGACTAATCATATCACTCAAAGCGCACACGTTTCATGTACGTTCAGCCTACGTTGCTGGATTAGCAGTCGTAGGCAGTTTGCGTCGCATATGGGATATCTGCGGATTGAGTTATTCTACCTCTGAGGATGCACAGTGACTCTGAGCTCTGAAGAGAACAGAAGGCGGGATAGATGCTTCCCTGTTTTGGCGCTGGTTAGCCAGAATGTTTGGACTGGGCGGGAAGATGGTCAAATCACCGTACCCCTGAGGATGTGCACTGCTCAGGCCGAGCCAGAAAAGAGAGCTACCGTGTAATCCTTGTGATATGAAATCAGTCGAAGAGTTTTCAGCAACATTGCAAGTAGTCTCTTCCATGAAATTAGGTTAATCTAGAAATTGGAAGCTCAAATCGAAACAGTGCACCACAACTGAAGGATGTATAACAAAGTATGTTATAAAATGTCTTACTGAAGTGATCTTCTCTGTCGGGATCGGAGTAATAGGCTGTAATTTGGGAAGAGCAAAATGGTTCGTTGAGCTAAGAAATCAAATGATTTAGATCACAATTCTACGCAATCCGTTGTACAACAGTGCTGTACGACGTCCACCAAGACCGTGGAAAGTTGTTTACTGTAACGGCAAGCCTACATTCATTTTCAAATGAAAGGACAAACGATCAGAAGCCTCTTCAGGCCTCGGAGAGTTTCCTCGTCTAGAGCGAATATGCTTCCAGAGAGATGACACCCCTTTTGTTGATCTCATCAGAGGACGGGGAAAATCCATCGATACGCAATAACGTCGGCGTTCAACGTGAAACAAGGTAAGCATACTCCTGAGGAACTACGCAGAATGCATTCGAATTTGCAACCAAACTAGCTTACGGTATGAAGCCACGTCTGGGAAGGTAAACACCGAAAACGATGCCCATTTGCATTTTCGGTCCAACAGTTCAAGAAAGACCAGATCCGAATATTCTTTTCCGTCAAGGTGCGCCGAGATAGATGGAATAGACATCTGCACCAAAGCTGTTGCGTAGAGGTCGGCCCCATCTCTTGCTATAAAGTGTTCCGATGGGTAGCAATAGTAGCTCAAGGGGTTCAATAGTTCAAAAATGCTGTCAAGCTGAAAGTGGAGAGGGTGGAGATGAAAACATGTTTAGTATTTTCATCCTTGAGGAGTAGAACGGTTCCAATTGAAGCCAAACGTTACTGTGCCATGAATTCTTTTAAACTCTTTAATTCGAATTACCCTGAAATTGTGATCTGAACAAATAAAACCGGGAGAAAGGCCAAAGACTACCAATGTATAAGTAACTTTGACGAAAAATACTTTCGCAAGATGAGTGAAAATTTCATGTGAGAAGTAATCACTCCGGAAGTCAGTCAATAGGCGACCACGTGATATTGATCCTGTGTGTTGAGAGACGAGTGACGCAGTCTAAATGCGATTTAATCAAACAGCCGTTAAACTCATCCGGACTAGATCCACGTCCGTTTCAAGTAGATCGCGGTGGTTCATATCAAACATTCGTCAGTTTGAAAAATCTACATTGAAAGAAAACCCTGAGGTTTCTCAGTATCTTGTGATTTCAAACAATGTCTTGGCGCTGTTCAAGTCACATAGTACGGTCAATGAGGCCAACTTTTTCCAATGGCACACTGAACATGTTGCATAGGACCGCGCGATCCTTCAGGTGGTGAGATATTTGAAATGACGCCATACAAAGTCTAGACGTGGCACACAAAGTTTCTGAAAACTCTCCGACATTCCATGACCGGTTTTTCAACTTTCGTTTCGAGCTACACAGGTAGGCCGGCTTTTCCATCCCAACCTTGTGGTCTACTTCACACCAGATTGCCGAATGATTTCGCGTGTACACTGACTTGGTTCAGACGAACGACTCAACTGAATTCGGCTAAAATTACTCGTTTACGATAGTTTACTGAATGAATCTGGACTGCATCGTAAGACGCAAGCATTGCATGAAAGGATAGTGATGCAGAAAGGTGAATTGTGGCCAGTTAACATCAGTGCGTTCACATTGTTTGGCCAAATACTCACTGGATACGTAAATGAGAAGCTGGTTACGGAAAAGTTAATGAAAGCGGATGTGAATTTAGACAGTGAAGAGTCTTTTATAACGGAATTGCCCCTTGAAAACTGCGATGTTCAAACTCCCAGTTTACAGATCGGGCAAAAGGAAGGCATTGAGAATGCGATTCGGAGTGAGGTGACGAGGGATGACTGCTGAATCATTGTTTGGTTACTAGTCAGGGGGGGCTGTTGCTCTGTCCGTCGAGCTTCACACTTGCTCGACTTGCGTGGTTGGACGTGCACTGATGATGTCTCCTCTACGAGCCTCACTTGGCCAACAGATGAACAGCTACTTGATCAGTCACCAGCAAACGCACACGACAATTCATCATCATCATCATCAACACCAACATAATCATCGATAGCATGACATCAGTGTTCAACACCGATGCCTCACTGTCGTACAAACATGATTTATTTGAAAGCCTTATTGTAAAGAAAAGAGCAAAGGTGGATGGGGAAGGGACTCAGTGCTAGCTTATCACAATCATTCCCAGGCGCCTATACCTCCAGATACTCACTCAGGCGATCTGGATAGAAACTGACAACAAGAACGCCACTGACGTCGGTTGACAGCCATATCTTTTAGTGTCTCCAACCAGGTACAGTGAGGATCACGCGGTCCCCATCCTGGAAGGCGAGTAGCATCGACAATTAGGAAATTGTCAACACGAATTGGTCAACATATAGTCGGTTTAAAAAACCCTTGTGTACTGTCGTTTGGCGCTGAAAGACGGATCGATTTCTTTACTCACATACTATAAATCAAACGTTGCGTAGTTGGAAGCTGTACTCAGCACTATTTTAGGTGACTTCAGTTCTGACTAACACCCAGTATTGAGGCCTGAAATTCAAATGGAAACTTGGCTAAAAGATGGAAAACAAATTTTAATCATCACTCTGTTTTATCAATTTGTCATCGTAATCGGGAAAAACTTACCATTTTACATTCTATCGAACGAGGGTCCAAAATGTTCACGTGACGCTCATAGTTTGGGACATACATGCCCAGTTCCAATTCTGAAGATGCGAAGATTAACGTGATAAAGAAACTCGAAGCCACCGGTTACTATTCACTGGGTAATACGAGAACAGACAATACAATTGGTTGATCCTGAGGTTATTGATTTGGCGAAGCAGGTTCTATCCAATCAGTAACAATGGAATTGCTTATGGAGGTCGTGAAAGATAGGTGCTTTCTTCCGATGCTACTCATACGGTTGCTCAAAACTCTTGAACAGCCGATCACTGGTTTCGGCCCTTTTGGGACTCGTCCAGTTGGCCTAGTCCAACTTGAAGGCCGAATTGTTCACACTAGGAAAGGAATCCGTTATGAGTAGTGTCGCGTAATGGAACAACCTAAATATCGTGGATATCTTTCTAAATGAAACACAAGGCTACTCGTGTGAGGCAAATTCGGTTGAAAGTCGTTGGATCCATTTTTCTGCTAACGGCAAGCTTATTACACATGGATTTTCACCCTCACGAACGAACACTGTGATGCCCAACCGCAGAATAAAATGTGCGGTGATCGGGCCTGGCTGATGAACAATAACGGGAGTGAGAGCTGTACCTGACTACTAAAGAGTTTTCAGTAATATCGCATGTAGGGCTGAGTCAAGAAAAACTCTTCGAGATCTTGAATAGTGTTCCAAATGAAACAGATGACAGGATTTTCTCAGCGAATTTGCAACTGACACTTACTCAAATAGCCTTCTGTTTCTGCAAGCAAAGTAAGATCTTTTAGCAATCTGGTAGCTGAATTTAAAACGTTGGCCAATTTGTCATCATGTTTCAAGGGACTTGATGAATATGAATGTCTAATACGTGTCAAAAACAGAAAACGGTTTCAATGAGCGCCTATTAATCATGGTCGGACGCAGTTAGCGTGCACATGTGTCATCTACTCTACCACGACGGATCGCATTGAATTTCTGTGCCAATATCCGTTTCCCGTCAGTCATATTAAAAGTACCGAAGTTAAAATCGATTCCACCTTCTTCCGAATTCAATGCTGCGTTTCTTCTAAAACAGCCTTTCACAGGAAGAACGCGTTTCAGATGACAGAACGACCTAAGAAGTGTCTTCAGACGTGCCAAAGGTTTGTAGAATGCGAAAAATTTATCTATCACCCCTACTGGATTTAGTCACCACAAACGAAAGACGCTTCGTTGATCAAAGTTTCACTGGTACATAGTGACCACTGTGTGCTGATCTTTGTTCTTATCTGCTACGGGGCCAGGAAAGCGGAACCTCGGGCGTGGATTCAAAACTTCTGCCGTGCAGGCCTCCCGGAAAGGGCCAACTCAAACTGGGACCAGCTTCAGTGGAGGAGATATACAGGACCACTGTCCGAGTCCCAAAGAAACCGGCGCGCAGTCAAATGTACTAAAAGCTACCCTAAACATTCGGCGTATTCTAGAAACGAGGTCTCAGCTATGCTTCGGAAAGGTAATCACAGGAGATGAGCTGGCGTTTCGTAAAATGCGGAACCATTGTAAATCTGCAATCCTCCAGTGAAATATACGAAAACAAGCCACCATACTAGGTCTCGCCCGAAAAAACAAAAATTTGCTGTTTAAGCACGAGACATCGTCTCACAACTAAGCCAACCGCGCTCTTCTTGATGGACAGGAAAGGGGACGCAATAAAGGTATATGAAGTCTACAGAAAACACCCTGCATGCCTGTATTCTGTTTCATCCATCTTGTTACGTTTGATCTTGTCTAAACGTAACTACGAACGGCCGCTCACTGATTCGCTCTTCATTGATGAGGACGTTAATCAACTCTTGCACAAGATACAACTCTCTTCAATGCGTTGGGGCTAGGCCAGGGCCATCTTTACTCACCTCAGTACTAGCAACTTGATATTCCTGGGGCGAAATTCATTTCTGCAAACCGTTCTTGCCCAACGAATATGCTTGCATTTATGGACAGCTTAACCCAATCTGAAGACAACTGACTCATTGGACGCCATATTTCTCGACTTATCTAAACCATCCGATCGAGGTCCAAGTGACCCGCCGCTCCAAAACCTCGGGTCTCGTGAGATTCAAGGGGAAATTTTACGCTGGATTAAGGCGTTCCTATCAGGCAGAACATTCAAGGTGAAGGTGGGTTTGACCTACTCTTCTTCGACACCGGTCTCTGTTGGAGTTCTTCAAGGCTCCACCGTGTGATCAATTCCGTTTCTGATCTACATCAGCGGTCTTTCAGATGTTCTTTCAATCACATGTTTACTTTTTGCGGATGACTGGAAATCCTGGATCTCCAAAACCAGCGCCCTTCAAATGGATGAAAAAGGTGCGTCAGTGTTTCTTGGACTCGCACATTCTCTGAATGAGAAAAAGTGCGTCCAAATGTCACCTGAAGGCGACTCAGCGCGTATGGTGAGAATGGACCAGAAGACATCACGAGGATAGATGCCAAAAGGGACTCTTGTATATGGCTCTCTTCAAACAAGTCCTTCTCACTGCACCACGAAAAATCGGCTCAAAGGGCGTTCGCCGTTCTACGGATGCTTCGGCGTGCCCTTCTCCGTATTACTCGCATGGAATTCCAGATACTCTATGGGGCCCGCGTCAGACCACTTCTTGAATATTCTAACCAAGTTGTTTACTCAGGATACAGGAACGATGTAACCCTCATAGAGCGTGTCCAACGAGCTGCTACGAAAGTGGTCGCCGCGTTTCGTCGTGCTTGACCTCTTTTCTCTGAAGTACCACCGCCTCCCAGGGGATCCACTGCCTAATTACGCCCAGTTTGAACTAGGTTTAGCCAACAGGTTTCTCATCGTTGACGTCAAATTACACTTGACCCTGAAGTACCACCGCCTCCCAGGGGATCCAATGCCTAATTACGCCCAATTTGAACAAGGTTTAGCCAACAGGTTTCCAATCATTGACCTCAAATTACACTTGACGACCCGAAGACACTGTGCAAATGTTTTACTCTTATAAGGAAGTCTCGGCAGCGCGCATCTGGGGAAAACCCAGGAGGGAGTTTCTAACCAGCAACCCCCAGCTTCTAGTGAAAGGAAGAAGGCCTTCGCTGCGAAGTCATTTACTAGAAAATGCCAACTGACCGGTTAGACAGGGAAGCAAAACTTCCATTTGCATCTTATTCACAAAAACTGGACATCCATCTTCTCCTGAACGCGTCTACTTGAACTTTCCTGGATATTCGATTCAAATCATTCATTACTCAAATCCAAGCAAATGCAACAAAGTGACTCCACAAATTCCGCAACATATCTCCCCTTTTCAAGAACAACACATACTACTCGCATGCCTCCCCATCAGCGGTGTCANGCGGTCGGTGTCACCGTTACACTAGTAGATTGAACAACTAACCGTTCGGTCACGAGCGGTCGATCACTAATTTTGATGAACTTACACTTGGATAGGGACACAACGATATACTCTTCAATCACGTGAACCGCATCACGTGATCACGCCTGTTGACCGCTCATCAGATGATGACTTTGATATCGACCGCACTCAAAGCGGCTCTGATCCCCTGGAGTGCGCTCCTCTACATGGTCTATCTAAATAACCTTGCGATATTGTCAAAATACGCACAAATTTCGTAACGCTTACTAAATTCTCCGTAAACAGGCAGTTGGAAGTTGATTCCCAAACCCTTGTTTACTCCCAGAGAGTCAATCACGCCTTGCAGTCCTATTTTCCATTGCTCTGGAAATCCCGTATCCGCCGGATGAAATCTCGTGTGGAAGTGGGTGATGGCCGACACGGCGAGTCTGTCCTCGAAATCCAGCACACGTCTTGGAATCACATTCACGATCCTCGTTGTTTGACGTGCAGCGCATTTTAGCTAGGTGAGGGTTTATTGAAAGTGAAGAGTGGTTAGGCAGTGGTTAGGTGATGTGATGACAAACGTTTGACTACAAACATCAAATACAATAGTTCAATCTGCTTGTCAGTCTTGACACAGTGAAAGGAACCTTTGTGCAAGGCAGTTCTCTAACTAACGGACTTATTACAGCGGTACGCTCTCATTCTACGGGGGGATGGACTATGCATTAGGAGAGATTCCAGTTTGACGTTCCTGCTATTCGACACTGCCTTATTCCACTTGATTGCTCCCTGTCACAGACCACCGCACCAGTTCCGTTCAACTCAGTGCAGTATAGCCATGAGAGTAGTGGTGGGGCCTGCAATACCGTAGCTTATCAAAACTTGGAATGACGTGGAGTAGATGGGTGCGTGGATGGTTTTCACACAACCTAAACAGAAATACGCACTGTAACAACTGGTTTAAATCGCTTGAGAGGGCAGACGGCCAAGCAAAAAGTGCACCTGCCAACGGTGTCTTGTAGTCATAATTTGTTCCTTCGCAAAGCAGAAGATGGATACTGGATACCAAGGACAGATGCTTCCACCCTGGAACCAGGCCAAGGGAGTTCTGTGAGATTTAGGGATCGCCAGGTAATGGATCCAGATTACTGGAGCATATTATCGATCTATTTGTACGCTCTGCTTTGTGGAGAGGACTTTCATTTCGTGGCTGGATAGTCTAGAAGTGGACCTGGTCCTCATCAACGGGAGATCTTTGAAGAATTTAAAAGTGACCCCCGCGGTTTGGTTATATTCATACTGAAAACCTTACAAGAGGGATGGCTGCCTATTGACTCGCATAATTCATATGTAGAGATTTGTAGTTAGTTGATCGGCGATAAACTGGCTTTTCAAGTTATGGTTGAAAAAGTACTCAACCACGTTCTTTTGCGTCCGGTTTCAGGGGAAAAGAAGTGGGCGACATCATTTTTGTGAACAGAGTTATTCGTTGATTTCAAGAAACGTGCTGACCTGGTGAAAGTAAGAGTACAACTGATGGATAGTTACGACAATGTTTTATTAGGATGAAATGCCACACCGATGCGTTTTACTTGGGGCGGAACCAACATTTGAAGCACTTGGAATCTGAACTTTTCACTATATACCCTTGTCTCACCACTTGAGTGCTCACTGTCATACACAGCCAAACCTGCTCCATTCCTGAAGGACACTACTCACAAGGTTGCTGAAACCTCTTCGACAGCCCACGACCGGTTTCGCCCTTCTTGGAGCTCATCAGGTAGGCGTAGTCCCCGAGTTTCCGTCAACCTTATGTTGAACTCAAATTGGATTGTTTTCGAGAAATACACTCATTTGCAAATCAATTTAGTTTTCACGAGAGACTCAACTGAATCTCTCGTTTATGATATACTACAACTGAATGTGCCTCACACAGGCCGCCTCATGTTTCAGTTGGCACGACATTCGAGATATCGCAGGATATTTTGATGAAAATATCTTCATGTTGAGTCTCACGTAAAAACCAAATTGATTGTATTTCTCGCTCCAGTCCTTTTCAATCCGATCGGGTGGAGCCATGAGTTCAGTGGTGGAGTCTGTAGTGTCAAATCTTACAAAATCGTGGAATAGACCGGTGCAAAGATGGATTCCACAGAGATCAAACAGAAGTTCGAATCACAACAACTGGTTTCAAACGTTTGAAGACAGAAGACTAAGCGAAAAGTAAAGGTGCACGATTGCTTCCCGACAACGGTGTCCTATAGTGCCAACTTGTTTCCTCGTGGTCCGTGGCTCGAACCCGACCTCTCCCTCTCGACTTCCCCTGTTTAGGCCTGGGCAACCTGGCAGTATCCCAGCCCTCGTGCCTCCTTCGTGTGTGGCATGGCAGCTAGGCACCGAAAGGGTGCTGCAGTTGAACGATTTTTTGTTTCCTCGCAATCTGGGCATCGGTGCTGGATGGACACGTGCTTCCACCTCGAAACCAGGACTTACGTAACATAGGCCAAGAGGTTTTGTGAAGCTTGGGGAAAACAAAATATGACTGAAAAGCACGAAAAAGCTATTCGTAGGATAAATCCAAATTCCTGGAACGCGTTCTCCTCTGAGAAAATTGGAACTCTCACTCTCCATGGTGGGATAGTCTTGGTCTAGAAGTGGTCTTGATGAAAAAGTTCCCATCTTCCTCAACAGAATATGTTTGATGAAGTCAAAAACGCCCCCTCTGGTTTAGTTGTATACACATCTAAGATTTGATAGGGGGAAAAAGCTGATTAAAATCGCCTTCGAAAGCAGAGCTCCTAGGTCGCTTCAAAAAACGCGTTGTTCTTGTGAAATTATGGGCACAACGACATTTTCTATCTAGGATGAAATGTTGCTTGAAGGACTCAAAAGCGGTTTTGAGCCAGAAGTTAATAACCCACCTGTGATTGTAGTTGTTTGGCCAATGCAGGTTTTAGAGAATTAAAGTTATCTCGAGTGAGCGCGACATTTCCAACCTGGTGCACTTCAACGCAGTAGGTCAAGGCTGAAAAAACGGGAGAATGGAGGTTAAACAAAGAAAATCAACCATAAATTCATGTTTCAAACAATACTTGGCGTGAAAAAACTGCTCAACTCTTCAGTGCTCATTTGTTCCCTTGCTGACTCCTGGCGACTTACGAACTTTGGGGATCTGTGATGAACATGATTTGGGTCACTTTCTCCCAAGAGACCAACCATCTACCACGAATCCAATGAATCGGGTGACATCTCCGTTTTTGGCGCCATTCCCGGTGAGTGGGACCACTATTAGAAACAACGTAGATCCCCATCGTGTT